GGGGGGAACACCACCCTCGGGGAACAGAAGGAAAGGTTCTTGGAAACAGAAGTCTGTTTGCCAACACAATACCTCTGTAAATCTCCTGGTTCATGGTTCATAATTCATGGAAAGGATTTAAAATGGCAGCACCTGTCAATGGGCTGGAAGGGAGTGCTGGAACAGCTGCTGGTGCTGATGCTGAAGGCACAACCATAGTGGGAAATCAGCTGGAAAAGCCTGAGAGTGCTTCCTACCTAAGTCCTGGAGAAAGGGCAAAAAGGATGGTCATGTTTTAATCTGTTCTGAGCAAACAAACAGATGAAAAAATTCCCAGTGTTCAGCAATGACATTTTGAGTTGGTAATTCCCTCCAGACATGGCAGATCAGCAACAAAATAAACACTCACCCACTTAAGGCCAAGTCTGGGAACGAGCCCCAAACTTTTTGTGGCCAAACCCTCCCCAAAACAGTCCTTGCCAAAGCTGTCAGGGACAAGGTACAAGCAGCTGCTCCCATTCTCCTCCTCCATGGATCTCACAGCTGCTCCGCCAAGTCATGAGGCAATCCCTGGAGTCTCCTTGGCACAGTCACTGATACAGTGTGAGCCTAAAAATCATGTCAAATCCTAGGGCAGAGTAAATCCTGGGAGATTACTGTAGGAAAAATCATCCAAAAAATCCCAAAAATTCAAACCTTGGCAAACACTGCTTGGGAAGAAACTCTTCCAAATGCTGAACTGGGAGAATCCCCAAAGAGGAGCAATGAAAAGCACTGGATGCCCAGCAGACCTCAGCCTGCCAAAACCAGATGGATGGAGATCCAAGAGTGGCAGAGAAAAATCCCACCGCATGTCCACGGTCAGCGAAGCCCTGATGAAACCTCCCGAGGATCTCGCACCAGCCTCTTGCACAGCACAGGACACAGAGCACATGCTGGAAGAGGCTGCAGTTCCAGCACCCGACAGATGGGAGCAGAGGATGCACAGAGATGTGAAAACGATGTCAGGAAAAGCAGGCGTGCAAGAACGATCCAGGTAGATTGTTGTGCCCATGGCTCCCTGGGACACATCCAGGGGCCGAAGCAAGTCTTGGCCATGGTCAGCTCTCAACTCTACCAACTGTGCTATCCACCATTGCTTCTTCTCTGGAAATTTTACAGCAGAATCAGTATGATCTTTGAATGATAGAATCATGCAACATCCTGATTTGGAAGGGACCCACATGGATCATCAAATCCAACAGAACTGCACAGAACACCCCGAGAATCCCACCACATGCCTGGGAAAAATGAGTGTGTGCTGAGCAGGACCCCAAACACCTTCTTAAAAAACTGACTGCTCTTGGAAAAACCATTTTGACTTGGAATGACTGCTAAGGAAGAAAAAAAAGGAGGTATTTTTGAAAAAATACTCTAACCAGGAAAAAAAAGAAAGTGAGCTCTGTCAGTGACATTTCCTGAAGCAGCTCTATCAGTTTCTGCTGCTGCATTTCAAATTCACACCCCATCCTGCCACTGAATTAGTTTGATGGTTAAGCAAATCCCAAGTTAAATCCAGAAATGGGTGTATTCAGTAAGCTTTACAAGATCACTGGGAGATAGCAAGGCTGGACAGTAAAAATTTGTGTCAGATCTTCTTCAGCAAAAGCTGAAGGTTAACAAGCCAGTAATGAGATACCCAGTACAGAAAGATTAGAGTCAAATATTTATCTCTGTTGCTCAAAAGGAATTTAGAGAAATTCCTAAGGGTGTTGTGTATGTCTCAGTGTGTGGGATATGAACCTGTCTCCAGAAACTGATCCAAGTAACAGGAATTTTCTCTAGTCAGACTCACATGGAAAAAAAAAAAAAATCACTGTCAGCTCCTCTTATCATTTGCTAAAGAAATGCTTCCAGACTCCTCATCCCTTTGGAAGCAGGTCAGGATCGTCCCCAGGCCACCCCAATGTGTATGGTCATGCTTTTAATTAAACACGGACTAATAGCAAGAGGCCCCCCCACAGCCTCAGAGCTCAGCCTTTGGAAATCACCACTCTGTGTCTTAAAACACCCGTGTCCCACCAGCTCTGCTGAACATTCCCAGTCTGTGTAACTCAAATGGGAATAGAGTCCCCACAATTTAATCTAAATTGGAGGATCGCATCTTCGTCAAAGAACACAGTAAGAACATTTGAGTTGTTTTTGGAATTGCTATAAACCTTGCCTGCTGAAGGGCAGAGTGCTTCTTGATCTCTGTTGCCAATATGGATGCACTTTTCAGGAGCTGTGATATGATCTGCCTTGGACTTCTTGTCTTCAGCACTTAGAGATAAAAGCAGAATTTACCTTACTACATGGAGTCCTTGTCTTTTATCCTGTGTGACAATAAATGGTAATTAATCTAGGCTTTTCCTGCAGCCATCCAGGAGAAACAAAATCCCACACTCTGACTGGGATTCCAAAAGGCAAACCTTACAAATCCCAGGATGTGGCTGTTTTGTAGCTCCATATAAAAGCCTCTCCTGTGCTTCATACACAGCAATAATGGCCAGGAGCTGAAAATGAACATTAAGAAGAGTAAGTGATATGAAAAAAAAACAAAAATCCAGACCCAAACAAACAGCTGCAAACAACCTTGGCTGAGATTCTTCCAACCAACACAAAAAGCCTGGCTCGTCCTTCCAGGGAATGAGGCCCAGAGCTTCACATCAACCTCTCCCCTGAAACAAAAGCTGGAGCTATTTTGAGCGCTGCAGCACCAGTAAACAGGAGTCAGCAGGTCATCTCTACTGGCTTCTGCACTCCCCAATTATTCCTCACAAGGGTCTGTACATGCCCAGCTCTCCCACGAATTAGGGGTTAGGGTGGGTTGGACTAATATATACCATTTTTCTTTCCACCACAAAACAAAAGCAGAGAGCAAAAGGATTTTCCCAAAGGTTGCTGTCTGATCCCTGATAACCTGCTCTTCTCTCCTCTAGAGACACTTGCATGGACATAGTTTATCCAGGCATTAGGGAATACTCCACAGACAGCAATGCTGGGCAGATGAGAACAGCAGAATAAATTTATATTGATAAATAAATGTGGCTTCACCCCCTGGAGCAAACTGGGATGGCTACACTGTAAAAGCCAAAATTCATGGAGGTAGGAAAAGACAACTCCAAAATAGGAGAAGGGCGGGCACACAGGGCAGCACAGTAACAGAATGATCTAGAAAGTCTTTTAAATGCCCTTCTTTACATCATTTCTGCAATGCCACTCTGCTGAACTTCCTGAGAAGAGGGGGTCTTGAGCTGAGCAGCCACATTAGAGAATATAAAGCTCTGCTCTCTTCCACCTCTGCTGCTTCTGAAACTCCTGGCATACACAGGGAACATTCCTTTCCTTACATTCAGAGCAGCTGAAGGTGAGACAGCAGCACAGTGAGGGGCACAGCATGAGAAAAATTCAAAGCAGATGAGAACGCAGGAGTCCAGCAGTCCTCTAGCTCACTCGAACTCCAGTCACATCACCAATCCCTTCACATCCCACTTCCAGTTAATAAAAAAAACCATAGACTGACAAATAGGTCATAATTATGGACACAAACAAAGGTGTAGTAGAAGTAGCTTTATCAAAGTATTTAAATTTTGTGGCAAATCTCTGCATCAACATGGGCAGGGAGGCAACGAAATGCTCTGCAGTAGCAATTTCAGTTACCAAACTATTCCTTGGACAGACATTTATTACAGGTAGTTTCTCTGTTCCTACTTCTCCAAGAGTTTAAGGCACAAAAGCCTGAAAAAGGGCTTATAACATGTATATAAGTGCTATTATTTTCACTTTCACCTCTAATGCAACATATCAGCTTAAATATATTGCTTGTCCATCCAGCTTATACAACATCCAGTAGAAAACTGCTTTCCAAGTTAACAAGCATTTGCTGCACAATATATCAACGCAATTGCTCTGACCCGTTTTTGCTGCAAGATCTTTAGTTTCTTTCTGATTGGACAGTGGAAGACACTACAAAATCTCAACTTCTCAATGAGACCATCAAGGTGTGTCCACAATAAAAAAAATAAAGGCATGATACACAAAATAACATTTAAATATGGTTGCTGAGAGAAGTGTTTTAAACTGCTGGTTCATGGGGAATTATTTCCTCATACACAGGTGGAAAAGCAGGCCAGGTGTGCAAGGTATCATCAGGTAAAAGCTTTATAACACTCCTTTCTGTCTTTTTTCTCCGAAGTGCTCTTTGGGTTGATTGCTTAAGAATATCAAACTTGCAAGCTCAAGATCACAGCTTAAGTTAACCACAACATAAGCTTTCATCACATGCTCAAGTTACAGCAACCTTACCCAGTCACTGGAAAGATTTTGAGACATTTTAGTGGTGTCCAACAATGATCTTTTTTGAAATAACTCATTCGTGAGCGTTGGGTCAAATGACTTAAGACAGTTGAATGGGCAGCAAAGCAGAAAGATGGGCAGGAACCAAAATGCAAAGGGTAATTTTACTTAAAAGACCAACTTTTTTATTGTACGATGGAGTAGAGTCTCTCTCCTGTGCCATCTTGCTGAGTTTATAAATTACAATTCCCAGTAAGTATTAAGGGTTCATTTCAAGACAAAAGGAATAAAACTGTTGCAGTTCTAATCTTCACCATGAATAAAGGTTACTGTGATGCTCCTACAATACTTGTTCTCTACAGGAAAGGCCACAGTCCTCCTGTACTCCGAGTACCTGACCTGGGTGGGGAAAGGGCCACCCCTCACAGCTGCAGGATCCGGGGGCAGAGTAACAGTCTGGAGCACATGGGGAGGATGTCTCACAGACACAACGCCTCAGCAACGAGGCTATAACACAGCTGGGATCTCTGATGAGACAGTGTCCAAAGGCTGCCAATGACAGTCCATCAAGGCATCATAGAGCTCTTCACTCTGTTCCATAAACTGCTTGTTTGCTTCGTGGACATCTAACTGAGGTGTGGGATCTATGGGAGGAAAGACAGACAAATAGGTCACACATCAAAGGTGTTCAGAAAAAACCCACCCTGTAAACAAGTTGGTATATTAAAACAAACATGGGAGGAGTCTCAGTATCTCCAGGGCAGGTGTCAGAGGATAATGCCAGACTCTGTTCAGTGATGCCCACTGACAGGACAAGGAGCGACCACCTCAACATGAACAAGAAGTTATTTTCATGGAGGGTGGCACAGTACTGGAACAGCTTCCCAGGGAGGGTGTGGAGTCTCCCTCTCTGGAGACATTCCAAACCCACCTGGATGTGTTCCTGTGTCCCATACTCTAGGTAAACCTGCATAAGCAGGGAATTGTTCTGGATGATCTCCAGAGGTCCTCCCAACCCCAAGTATTCTGTGATTCTGTGAGTCACCAAACATTCCCAGCACTTGCCCAGTGATAAACCTGACCAGATCAGTCCTACCCAATCTCTCTGCAACGAGATAAGGAATAACTACATCCAAACATGTCCCTTTTTACAACAGTGATTGCCCCACAGAACAGCCAGTGGAGGGAACACACACCTGCACCTCACAGCCCAGTGCAGCCACCTGCACTGCCAGAAAGGGCTTGGCCGGATGGAAAGGGCAGAAGCAGAGGTAGAGGCACCCATTCCCTTCTGCTCCCTCCACTGTGAGGTCACAAATGATGGATGGACAGATGGATGCGAGCATCCTGTGCTGCTGCAAGCAGACACCAGAGCTCACTGCTAAAGCCTCCAGCAGTTCAAAGCTGGAGTCACAGTTAGGAATGAAGGGAGTGTCAGTGGCACCACAGCATCATAGTGAGCATAGCCATATTTTACATTTGGAAGAAATGTTTGAAAAGCATTTTGGAGCTGGACAAAAAGCGTGCAGGTCCAATCCTGCTGCTCCAAATGCACAGTGATGGACTCCCCAAACCCCTGTAGGGTGTAAAGCTCACCTGACAACACTGGCAACCCAAAGCTCAGGTTCTCAGAGTAGCATAATCACAAAGGTCAGTGAATGACTCTCAGTACAAAGCTGAATGAATGGAAAGACTCTAAAACACATCAGGAATAAAATGTTTGTAAACATGTAACTTCCCTGTGAGGGAGGTGAGGCCCTGGCACAGGTTGCCCAGGGAAGCTGTGGTTGCCCCATTTCTTTAAGTGTCCAAGGCCAAGTTGGACAGGGCTTGGAGTGACCTGGTCAAGTGGAAGGTGTCCCTGCCCATAGCATGAGGTGGATAAAGATGTCTTTGGAAGTTCCTTCCCACCCAAACCATTCCAGGATTCTATGTTTGGTTTTAGCTACATCATGTAACACATTACAGGAGAAGAGATTTAAGGAAAAGGAATGATACAGTGACAATACATTAATTCAGTTTCCTACAAAGGTAGGAATCTTTCATTTAATCAACCAGAAAAAGAAATATCCAGAGAAATCCCATTCTAGTCCTGGTATGTTTGCTTCAGCAAAAGGAAATCTCTCCTAGAATGCTTTTAAGAGCCATTAACAGCTTCCACACACATCAGCACTCATACCTGTGGATCCTGTAGATCTGTTACTATGTAATTTTAATTTTTTTTTTTTTTTTAAAGAATAGAGTAAAATACACTGCATAGTGTGTATTGCACTCAAGACAGAAATCTGGAATGGCTGGCATGAAATGATAGTTTCTTGCATCAATAAATGAAAGCTACTTGTACAGGTGTCTAAAATCCCTGATCTGGTTTAGTGACCCATTTCAAGCAACAACTGCTTGAAATATTTTGTCAGTGTGGTGACTAATATTATTCCCTTTTACTTGTAAACTTAAAGCACAGTGAACTATTCTGGGCTCTAAATGTCAATATTTTATAGAAAAACAGAATATCTACTTTTTTCTTGGTAGCATAGCAGAAAAAGAAACCCTAGTAAAAAAAAGATTAACGTTTCAGTACTTCAGAAGATTAAAATCTCAGTGCTGGGAAAGTCAAACAGTTTCAGTCCTCACCAGGTTCAGACTAAGAGCAGCAACAGTAAAACCAGGATGCAACTGTTGTAGGCGATAGTAACCCACAAATTTTCTCAGATTTACTCGAAGATAAAGGTATATTATAAATTGAAATTAGGGCCAATTTGAGAAAGTCTATCTCCAAGCAGTGCAGAACATACAGACAACTTCAATACAGAATTTGAGAAACATACCTTCCAATGCATCCTCACCAACTTCTTCATATGTCTGCAAGGAAAAACAAACCCCTTAGGACAGTGAATAATTATCTTTTCTTTTACAAGCATGGCTTGTTGATTAGTACTGTCAGAGACTGACTTTTATACTGGAGTTATTACTGTCAGAGTACTGTCAGATACTGACTTTTATACTGGAGTCATTACAACAGAATTCTTCACACATAAGCCTGTGTTCCACTCCTAATACTCCTTGGGTGAGATCTTACACTAAACATCTATCAGAGGCAGTTCTTGAAATTCCAGGGTTGAAGTGGGGTGACTGTTCTGATGCATTCTATCCTTTATAACAAAGTTTATGAAGGATCCCAAAGGCATTCTGAGCACTGCCTGTACCAAGAGAATTCTTCTACCATCCCAACTGTACTAAGAGACCCTTTGTGTCCTCCAGATTTTTTTTTAACCTCAGCAATATACTCTCCATAAGGCAACAGGACACACCAGGGGCTAAACACTAAATAGTAGCTATATTAAAACTTCATCATGAAGAGGTATATACTAAGATCCCTTGGTGTGCTCAGTTTGGAGCAGAGCAGACTGAGGGCAGAGCTCATTAGGGTCTGCAGCTCCTCCTGAGCGACAGCTCCGATTTCTGCTCTCCATAACCAGGGACAGGACCTGAGAGAATGTCTGGAGCTGTGTCAGGAGAGGGTCAGGCTGGATATCCGGAAAAGATTCTTCCCCCAGAGGCAGCTTGGGCACTGAACAGACTCCCCAGGGAATGGTCACAGTCCCAAGGCTGCCTCAGCTCCAGGAGCCTTTGAACAATGCTCTCAGGCACAGGATGGGATTGTTGGGGTGTCCTGGGCAGGGCCAGGAGTGGGACTCAATGATTCCTGTGGGTCCTTTCCAGCTCAGGACATTCTGTGTGATTCTCAAAGCTGAAGATGAATCCCACCTTTGGAATCTCTGGTGTTTTTGTGCTGCCCTACCTGCATGGTGCTCTGTGTGTAGCCATACTGGGGGTAGCTGTAGCTGTAACTGCCCGTGTTCTGGTCATACCCCCACTGAGCGTAGTAGTTGTGATACTGTTGGTAATACTGGTTGTAGTTATAGCTGTACATCTGATTGTACTCCGTTGGTTTCACACGATTACTTCAAAAAATAAAGCAGGATAAAAATAGCAATAAAATAGCAATAAACCATTTTTTAAAAATTGCAATAAAATAGTGCAGAACAAGTATGAAAAAAGCAGTGAAATAGCTTAAGATACAATGTGGTAAAGAGACAAGGCTTAGTCTAACAAGCAAATTTCAATCTTTAAAATATATTCACTATTTACTGCAGCAATATTTATTATTTGCATATATTTGCATAAATAAGTGGTTTAAATTTAATACCTTTTCCTGTATTCATATTCCTCTTCATTAATAAACATTACTTTCATTCATTATGAGCTAATTGGGTATCACTTCCTGGCTTTGGGAAGGGAAGAGTTCAGGACTATGAGCTTCAGTTTAGAAAAATCCTGAACCACAATCCAGATACTGGAGTCCCTTCTTCCATCTGGTAAAGAGGATGAAGTTAAGTGATCTGCAGTTTTCTGAGAGAAAGAACTGAGTCTTGCTTTACACGAAAAGTTAAAGACTTAAAGGCTGGCAAAAAACCTCAAGTTTTCTTTTGTAAGAATGGAAAAAACTCTCCCTTCTGCCACTGTCATTCAGAAACCTAAGCAAGAACTCGTCCTCTTTCTCTCTGAACTGGATGATCTTCAATGCACAGACTTGAAAAAGTTCATGAAATAAGAACTACTAGAAATCAAAAAATAAACTTAAATACCCTGAGAACTGACTAAAATTCCTATTCCTTGCCACTTTATGAACTGGCAACATTCCCAAGGAACACCATTCCACCTAGCTATCAAGATTTGAAATAATGAGATGACAAATATTATTTGGAAATGAAAATATGTCACACATACAGCTATTTCTACTAATGATGAAATTAGTGAGAAGCAGGAAGAAGGAAACACTAATTTTCTCACCACAATGCACCCATTTTTTCTGCTTTTCTCTTCCTTTTCCCCCCCCAGCCTTATGAGGTCACTGAAAATCTAAATATTATTCAAATAGGGAGCAATTACTATGATTCGTATTACCCTAGTGCTACGAGCCCCAAGTCAGACCAGGATCTCATTGTATCAGGTTCTGAACAAACACAGAAAAAAAAGTTAATACCTGCCCCAAAAGTCTTATATGTAGTAGACATCATAATAGAATTAGCAAGATAGTTGAGCTTTGCTATCCAGACATCATCAAGAAGATTTAAACTATTTCAATTTAATGCAAAGGAACATACATTTTAAAAACAATCACATTTAACTACAGTGTGTGCATGTATACAGATTTAATAATATATACAATTCAAAACAGTGTAAAATGCTTAGTCTTGAACTAATGTTATAATTTCTTTGAACTCCTGGGCATTCTGATACTCCCCATATTCATAGTTATTCTTTCATTTTGTGATGGAGACATCCAGGACATGTATTCAAAGCACTAAAAGGGATTTAAAACCAGATGTGATTTTTCATATAAATGTCCAGCTGTTCTTCTACTCACACTTTTGGTATAGCCACACTCAAGCGTACAGGTTTAGAGCCCAACCCCACAGCTCCCTGACACTCTGTCAGTGCTCTCTTCTGTTCCAGTTCATCTGTGAATTTCACGAACCCGTAACCTCTGCAGAGACACAGAAAAACTCACACAAAACCAACCCCAAAGAGTAAGGCCACGTTATAAAAATTAGTTACAGTGAAGTTTGATTTGGTTTGAGAAACACAGTGAATAAAAATGTTCATTAGGGCTGTTGTCCCTGCTCTTGGGAGAGATGAAATTATTCTGCCTTCCAGTTGCTTTTCCAGAATGCCTGAAGCCACACGTCCAAGCTCTGGCAGTACTTTCAAAGGTTTGTCAATGTAAAGTAGTTCTTGTGCCAGTGGATTCTGGGGAACTGGAAGTGAACTGACACAAGCCATGTTGAAATGCGTGAACTGACACATGACAAAGCCCCAAATCTCTGCTGGGAGGATACTGATAAGCTCAAGAGCACAGCTGGAACAGGGACAGCATATCCAGAAACCCTGGACTCTGCAACAGGTTTTCTGTCAGCCAGACAGAAAACTCCAACTCCCTCCAACCCCAACAGTCCTTTGCGTGGGATTTTGATGCTGTAGTGAGTCAGAAGCAATGCAACAGCATCCAAGAGGGCAGTGCCAGGATCCCATCATGGGATGGGCTGCCTAACGCAGCAGAAAGATCAAAGACTTAGGTGTGGGAGGGTAAGAGGAATCCATCTAAGCAAAGGAAGAAGTTTGGGAGGGAAGGGCTTGTCTACCTGGGGAAAAGAACGAGCCGTAAGCAAGGGTGTAAATTTTCAGTGCATTATCTATTCTGTGGGAACTGCTACACACCAAGTAATGTGCTATTTTGAAAGCAGCATCACCTACTACTCATGGGAGGTCCCCACTGGCAGCTATTTCAGAGCAGTTCATGCCCCAGAAAATGCAGTACCTTGCACAGCAAGCTCCACATGCAAGATATATAAATATCTTACTTATATATATACACACATATACATACAGGTATGGATGTATCCTCCTCACAAAAAGACCAGATCAAAGCTTAGACTTATCTACATAGAAACTAGATTATTAAATACAAGCAAAACTCTACACAGACCCACGTTCATTTAACTTGCCCTCTGCCAAAGGACTATGGCAAATTAATCCAGTGCAAGTCAACTTCTAAGTCAGTTTAAGGTGTTCACACACAAACCCAACTAAGTTTCTAAGCTACCGAAAGACTCCTCCAGATTTTCAGATGGCACCAGGAGTGTGTAAGAGAAACTGAGAAGACTGGCAGTTCCAAAATAGAGACAGATAGAGATGGAAGTGGTGTACAGCAATAGATGCTGCGTGCTGCAAGGGAGGCAGTGATTCTTCCAAGTCTTCCAGACACTGATTCTTCCAACTCTTCCAGACATTTAGCTTTTCCACAACAACGGCTAAACCATTGGTGAGGAAAGAAATAATTTCTTCCTGGCCAGGACCTCCCTGCAGACCTTCTGTCCTGCCCCTGAAGTTTGGAAAAGCCCCAGCACCTGCACCCTCAGCACAAAGCAGAGAAGTAGGCACAGCACCACACTCCAAGCTCCTCTCCTGTCTGAACAAGAGTGCTGGGAGGAGGCCTTCCTGATCCACCAGCCCTGGCTGGAAGGGCCAGGGCTTCACTGGGCATGTCCACAAGCCCTAAGCTCCTCTCTCACATAACACTGACATCTGCAGATGCCTCAGCTTTGAGCAACTGCACAAGTCCCAACAAAGCCCCTGGCACCAACACTCTGGCGCTGCCAGGGGAGACAGCTTTGCTCTTCCCAGAAACAGGACTCTAAGTGCCTGCTCTTCCCCCACTTCCCAAGCTGCCACAGATTCCTCTTCCTTGAGGTCTGCAGCTATGCACAGCTCCCAAAACCCAACGAATAGTCCAACCTGCTGCACCAACACCTGTTCTATAGAGAGAGACTGAAGCAGGTGCAGCACAACAGGAACTGTGGGGTTTACATTGAGGAGGAGCAGAAGTCACACAGAGCCCAACCCAGCAGTGTCCGTCCCAGGGGAGGTGGCAATGACAGCATGAGGACCCCACAGCCACACAGACTGAGTAGCTCTGCAAGAGGTTCAAGATGCACATTAAGAGAAACTTCATGACTGGGGAGGAGCGCAGCTCTGGAACAGGCTGCCCAGACAGACTGAATTAACTCCATCCTGGGAGGTTTTCCAGGCTACACAATCCATGGATGATATGATCTAGCGCTGGCTGCAGTCCTGTTAGGAGCTGGACCAGAGACCTCCAGAGATTCCTTCAAACCAACCTGTCTAAGACTGAGAAACCCCATATGAGAAGGTGGAGGGACCTACAACCACAGCCTATATCTTATCCCAACATTCTCACAGGTGTTATATCACAAAATTGTACTTCACTGAAGCCACGCTCTGCTTTGAAAACAAGGATGCTCACCAACTGCTCCTTCCTCTGGAAAATACAGCTTAATTTCACGCTATTTAGCAAACATTTTAATTACATTAAGAAATCCAACTTTTTGATACCTTTTTTAGCAAGACATTTTCAGGAAAGACAAACAAGGCAGCTACTGAGAACCTGACAGTGAATCATAGCTTTGTGTGCCCTACCCTCTTTGAGAGAAAACTCGTACAGCTCTCACAGGAATATACACTCAATAGCCTAAAGTTTGTAAAGCACAATTCCACCCAAGAGTCCAGGAAGAGAGTGTTTCAAGATTACTTAAGAAATTTTTCAGCATTTTACAAAGTGCAATAACACACAAAGGGCCTCACACTGACAGAGAAGTGACAACACCCATGGTGACTACCAAAACTCAAGCGAACTTCAGACTGAATGGCCAAAACCACAATATTTTAGGATTACTAAACTCTAAGCCAAAAGAAATTCTTCCCCTTGCTGCATTCTGTCTTTCCTGTTGCTACATGTGAAGTTTAAAAAAAAAAAAAAAAAAAAAAAAAAAGTGAATAAAAGACAACTTACTTGGATACTCCTGCCTGGTCCAAAACAACTTTTCCACCTCTACACGATGGATAAACTTTAACAAAAAATTCATATAACATCCCATCATCCACATCAGGAGTCAGGTCTCCCACAAAAAGGGAATATTCTGGACTAAAGACATCAAAAGAAAACCTCTTAAATACAATCATACAAAAAAAAAAAAAAAAAAAAAAGGGACATGCTGAGTGACAGTAGTGACAGTTACCATTTAGCCTAAATATTTGAACTCAAAGAAAAGCGATATTGAAAGACCATTTAATGGAGACTTTAAAGTGCCACCAGTTAAGCTGCTTAACTAAAATTTTGTTTGACACTGCTTTTTCAAGTTAATTGAAGCAGCACAACCAAGCAACTCAATACTGCTTTTTATTTAAAGATTATTTCAATGCTTATTACTCAAAGGATACCTCTGATTTCTAAAATGGCAAGAAAAAAGATCTCATTTACAGATATGCTATTTCCAATACATAGATCTTAAATTATAATACATAGATCTTAAATTATAATATATGAATTAGATACTTTGATGCTACAAAGTTTAAATACCTTAAAGGACACTGGATCAATCTGCTGTGCCACACACACGGCAAAACACAAAACTGGCAGTCTAAGCTCTCTTCCCTCTACTAAAGACTGGCAGTGATGAACTTTGGGTTTACATATTTTGAATACTTTTTGCAAGGCAATTGATAGAGAGACATTAAGCAGGCAAAATTAATATTTAAGTATTGAGCACTTACCTGTTATCAGGCTGTTTTCCATATGTTGCATAATTCAATTTAAATCGTTTCGCCTGAAACAAGGCAAAAATGAATCCATACATTCAAATGTTGTCATGTGAAATCAAGCAATTAGGGAAAAATACAATAAGCTGAATACAGCTTAATGCTGACACATGTTCAATGCCTTCAGGCCAGCCAGTTAAGGTAACAAGCACATTTTTATTTAGCATCAGTACAGATATAATAACAAAAATCAAAATGTGAACAGAGGTAGTAATAACAAATGTTAAATTTCTTCCAATTTTAAGGTCTCAAAATGAAATGACAGTACCACTCCTGGACTTTTGTGATTTAACACAAACACTCACAGACCAGAATCCAACACACTGGAAAATGGAATCAACCTGAGTCTAGAAGTGTGGCTAAATACATGGCTCTGGACATTTAGTAAGATCCAAAATTAAAGGGTTCTGAAAGAACTACACTGGACACTGGAGCCCTCTTTAAATTTTGCATCTGAATTTATTTTTGAAACAAGTTTCCCAGCAGCCCAGATTTGTGCCCTCTGGCACATCTGGAACTCTCTGTCCCCAACCTACCAGACTTTTAGCAACTTTTACCCAACTTACATCTACGTTTAGACCAAGATCTAAGGAGACCAAGATCTTTGAATCAGCTCTTAGAGATCAGGGGCTAATCTCAGGATTTCGGATCCTAAAATCAGGATTTCAGATCACAATCAGAAATGCCTTAGAGATCAGTGTACTTGTTCAGTACAGTGAAGAGCCCTTGTATGATGGATTTCATTCCCTCAAAAACAGGCAAATAATTCTTGGGAAATAGAGCACAGACTTAACTCTAGGCTATAATCCTGTTAGTTGCACACTTGCATTCTCTGGAGCACAGTACTACACAACTTTCTGTGGATCATTTACAAGCTAACACAAAATTTAGGTTCCACTCTGAAGCATTTAGATTTTTTTTTTTTTTTTTTTTTTTTACTCTTCACTGCAATATTCTGGGTTTAAAATCATTAAGACACCTGAGAGTATTTCTAGTTAGATGGGAACTGGGAACACCAAAGCTTGGAAAAGAGAGACAGCACCAGCACCATGTCTCTCTGTTTTTCCTTTAACTGATTCAGTATTTAAAAATAAATAAAAGCACAAGCCACACTCAAGTTTTCTGTAAACAAAATTCTCTAAATGCAAAGGATGAGCTGTGCAGTTGCCCCCTGAGTGCACTGATTTGAGCTGCTTTGGATCTCTGCCTGACATCTGTAATTCTCTCTGTGCATTATGCAAATCATCCTTCCACACAGCACTGTGTTTTGGACAAAACTGTGAAGATGGGTATTCCCAAAACCAAACTTCCATTATTATCTTACTCCTTGCTCTCTTTGTCTTTCCAGTGACTACAGAAGGCATCCAGTATGAGCAGCTTGCCTTAATCATGAGCAAACACGTGAAACAGATCTCTCCAAGCCTCTCATCGACTCCTTTTAACGGGGCACGTCACCCTCTCAGGAACGTTGACTAAATAGCTCAATCTGAACTTCCCAGTCTCCTACTCCAGGTATTAACTACTCTGAAATAGGAATCCATTTACCTTGTATATCACACCATAACTGAGGTGATTCTAGAGCTGCTTTATGAATCAGTCACCCCAGCTACTGCAGCCAACTCCTGTGGGTACAACAGACAGCTGTGTCAGCCGTCCCATTTTAATCTACCACATATTTGAGTCAACATCCTAAAATTAGCCTCTCTGCCTATTCCTCCTCCCTAACTACCCAGCTTTTATGTAGAAGAGATGTTAGTTATGCACTGCAATTATTCAATACTCTGTCTCATTCTCCACTGTAAAGAGGTTTGAGTAGCTTCTGTTTGCTAAGGGCCAAGAACAATGCAAGATTAAAAGTCATGTTTCTCTTGCCAATCAATGTTACTCAAAAGACAGTGTGAATTTGCAAGCTCACCCTGTACGCATGTAACAACACACACAGCTAAATTCTCAGGTTGCCTCATCCCTGAAAGTGTTCAAAGCCTGACTGGATGGGGCTTAGAGCAACTTAGTCTACTGGAAGGTGTCCCTACCCATGGTAGGGGATGAAATATGATAAGCTTTAAGGTACCTTCCAACCCAAACCACTCTGTGACTCCATGATTATACAAAAGGAGAGAGATGGAAAAATTGTGGCAGACATACACTATACTCAAACTAATTTCTTCCTTGTTCTTCTCAGGCTTCTGACTAGTCCAGCTTTGGTAACAGAAGCAATGGTTAGACATAAAAACCATCACACCCCACAACACTTCTACACCTGAATTTTATCTAGACAGTCACAAAGAAATCAGTGCTTTTTCTCAACAATTTTCTAAGCAAGAACATTATCAGTTTTATAGTCATAACTTCTATTCTAAAGCAAAGAAGAATCCCAGTTTGCTAATTATTGAATTTATCTGTAATCATTAAAAATACACATTCTACACTATCTGCCCCTTCCAAATTTTGGTTCTCAACTGTCTGATCCCATTTACTTACCGGTGTAGCACCAGGAAGTGGTTTTCCATTAATTTTGTGTAAACATTTCTCTGCAGTAGCTAGATCTGCAAATTCTACAAAGCAATAGCCTGCTGGAATTCTGAACACACAACACAGAAGAGAAGAGACAAAAGTTATAAACTTAAAACACATTTGATGAGGAAAACTGTATTTTAGATAACTAGTAAGAAATTTGCTATAGTTGCAGCACATAAAAGAGCTTCTTTTTAAAGTATAAATATTAGTTACCAAAGAGAAGCTTGATCTCAAGGGATAGCCCCTACTTACCATAAGTCAGGACAACACAAGCACATAGAAAATGGTTTAGCTTAGTTTACTTCCTACTTTCATTGACTGTCAATTTGCCCACCCAAGTTTAAACTACTAAAAACTGAAATTACAACACTTAAAAGAATAATCAATAAGAATGAAACTACTTTATTCTGCATAAATCACTCCTTTTATTTCAAATGAACTCTAAATGTTTTCTTACTGCTCCAAGTCAGACTTCCCACCTCTGTCAGCATCACACAGCTGCACTACAGACTAGTGACCAAAGCATGGGGAGGTGTAATTCTCAGAGGGATGGAATGAGATACATACACTGCTCTGACTGAGTGCTGGAGCACTGCAGGATGTGGGCCAAACCTTGTCTGTTGAGGGAAGGCTGAAGAGTCAGCAGTGCCCTCTCCATTGCTCTCATCAATATTCACATATTGGTAGCAGCAATGGTGAGAAACTCAAAGGGAAAATTCACTCTGATATGGAAGGACCACAGCGAGGCTTCAGTCCAAATGCACTCGGAGAACAAACAGAAACAGTTACCCTGTCAACCTGTTTCGAATGATTTTTACACTCAGTACAAGCTCTCCCATGGTGGCAAAGGCTCTTGAAACAAAGTTTTCATCCATATAGGGCTCCAGCTATAAAAGCAAAAAAAAAAAAATAAAGAAAGTTAGATCAGGGCATCTACAAAAAAGAGAATATATGTGTCAATGTCCCTCTAAGCAGTTAAAACATTATTGAGAAGGATTTTACCCTTACACTTCAAAAAGAAGACTCATTTAAGAGGGTCGATGCCACTCAAAACCAGCAGGCATGCATGAACCAGGCTCAACAGTCTGCAAAGTGGAACCCAAGAGACAGCATGAATTTCAGAGAACAGGGAGCTTCACAGAAGGACAAAAGCCACTCAGAAACATATAGCAACAAACTAAGCATTCGCTATAGGGAGCAGGGGAGAGGGTGGCAGGCTCCTTCTCCAGGTGCAACTGAAGGCTGGGCCAGCACTGTGGATACACAGGTGTGGCACAACCCTGGGTGGCATGTGGCAGATGACACTGCCCCGTGGAGCTGCGTTAGGGGTCTGCAGAGCTGTGCCTGCCTCACACAACCCCGGAGATACCAGGGCAGCACTCGAGGGAAGCCCTGGAATCGTGTCCCACAGCAGCTCTACACTTCATCCTGCCCATGGGAGCACTGACCATGTTCATGTCACAGGGAAGGACTGCACTGTGCAGGTAAGAGTGCATGTGAACATGCTGGAAAGCAGGTGTCTGTGTGATGTAATGGATTGACAAGTAGGAAAGGGTGCTGGAATTTGCATCAAATATACTATGAGTGAGTGAACAGGGCACCTCTGTGTATAACAGAAACTGGAAGAGGGAACTAACCAAAATGAAAATGGGGAGCAGTGTGTGTGACAGGTAACATGGAGCTGAAAAATGTAGTATAAAATATATATAGCTCCACGTATTTACATGTGTAAGACAGGTGGCTCACGGTAACCTACAGCCCTCAAGTATTTGTGTGTCTGTCAGGTACTATGTGGCTCCACCACTTGTGTGTGTGACAGATTGTGCAGTATGTGAAAGAAGGCGACCATACTGCACTTGCACCTGTAAAAGGCAGCAGATGCCCTGTGGAAGTGAGTGTGAAGCAGAACTGACTTGTCCCAGGAGCAGAGGCAGCACCACTCTGCACAGACGTGCCATGCAGGGTGATCCTCCTGGCTGTGTGTGTGTACAGGAAAGCTGTATTTGTAAAGACAACCAGTTGCTTAGATATGTCCATATGGCTCAAAGAGCCATGGCCTGCCTGTGAGCAGTGATGAAAAAGAAGATGGGCTTTATCACAGAGAGGTGGCAGAAAACCCTCTGTGTGGGGAAAAGGGAGAAAAGACTCCATGAAGTCTCCATGCACGAGCAGAGGTAGTAGAGGACACCCTGATACCGTGGCAAACTGGATGTGCTGAGTGTGTGTGTGGGAGAGAGAAGTACCCAGTGGGATTCTCAAGGATGTGTTGAGCTGTGTGTACACACACACGTGAGCGATGAGGAACACTACGTGCAAGCAGGACTGTGCTGGTGTGAGCTGCAAGAAAGGGGCTGAAGGAAGATGTGTGTCCAAGAAATAGGTGGCAGGGAATTTGTGACACGTACACACATAGTGGAGTGCACACAGGTGTGTACAAATGTGTGGCAGACAGCAAAGACACTACACGCAGTGGTACCGCATGTGCGTGTCACACTGTACCACAGTGGCAGCAATGCAGGCACCACAACATGCTGAGCACACGCACACACGTGCAGCGTGGCTGGGTGGCAGAGCACTACAACATGCTGGGGTGAGTAGACACGTGTGTGAAAGCGTGTGTTCAGCAGTGAGTGTGAAGGACACAGGGGCACAAGAGTGAGGGTGTGCTAAGGGCACACAAGGAACACTGTGGGCTGTGCATCACTGTGAGTGTGCCTACAGTGGGCACGTAAGCGGGCAGCAAGACACCCTTGGGTGAAGAAGCCCCTGTGAGTATGCTTCTTATGGCTGCTCTTCCTGCCAGGTACAGGCAGGAATGAGGGACCTAGCAAGAAGTGTAAGTGCTTTGAATGTGTGTGCATGTAGAAGAGTCAAAATCCCTATGCGGGTGTAAGCGTATGAGGGCAGGTTGTGAGGGATAATCTTGGAAAGGTGCATACAAATGTGCCTACAAGTGTGAGCACAATTAGCAGCACAACCATGAGTGTGTGTAAATGCCTGGCACAATGTAAGCATGTAAATGCCTATAGCAGCTGAGCAGGTAAAACAGCAAATAAATCCTCGAAGGGGAGGATGCATGCAAGTGTACACGCTGTGAGTATGGGAGTAATTGCCTCTTAAGAGTATGGAAGTGTGAGACTTCTTGGTGCCCATGCATGTGTCTGACCGCCAGGGACACTGGTGTAAGTCTGGCTGTGACCTGGCTGCAGGGTCACTCTGGCGGGGTGTGTGAGTGTAACTGCTCACAAATGTGCCTGTCAGCCTGGGGTTTATGCCTGAGTGTGTGTGTCAGGCTGTGTCAGCATGTACAGGAGTGTATGACGTCTCACTTGGGGAGTTTAAGTGTGAATGTTTGAGGGGCTGTGAGGCTGTGCCAGTGAGTGTGGGGGGTCAGTCAGTCAGGGAGAGGGTCAGCTGGTGTCAGGTGTCAGTCAGAGTGAGGGTGTCAGAACTGTGAGGATATCAGTCTGTCGGTTGTTGTGTGGGTGTTAGAGTGTCAGGCAGTCAGAGTAAGGCTGCCAGTTGCTGCAATGGTGTCAGACAGTCAGTGTGATGGTGCCAGAGTGAGGGCATCAATTGGTGTGAGAGTGTCACTCAGTGCGAAGAGTGTCCGTCAATGAGAGGGCGTCAGTCGGTCGGTGGGAGAGTGTCAGTCAGTCAGGCATTGTGCGGGTGCCGGTATCAGCCGGTCAGTGCCTCCCGCGCCACCCCCGGCCCGGCCGCGTACCCCGTAGCCCCGCCGCCCCCCGCACAAAGCCGCGGTCCCAGCCGGACACTCACGTCCCCCATCCACAGGCTGGCGGCCATGCTGCTCCCGCAGGCCCCGCGGCGGGTTCAGCGGGGCCGCGCGTTCCACCTCCCGGCCCGGCCCGGCCCGGCCAGGCCCGGCCCCGCCGCCGCCGCCCCTCTTTCCGTTCCACCCCCGGTGCCCCGGTCCCTCGGTCCCTCCCCCGGTCCCTCCCGCCGCCGCCCGGGCCGGCCCCGCCGCCTCCTCCGCGGCCCCGGCGGGCGGAGAGAGCGGCGCCCCTGCCGCCGCAGCGGCCCCTGGCGGCAGGAGGAGCGACAGCCGCGGGAGGGAGCCGGGGCCGGAGGGCCGGGGTCTGGGGCAATTTAGGGAGGCTGGGGGCAACTGCGGCTGCCTGAGAGGAGGCTGGAGTGAGGTGGGGACCGGTCTCTTCTACAGGGTCTGCAGTGAGAGGGCAAGAGGAAATGGCCTTAAGCTGAGACAGGAGATTCAGATATCAGGAAAAAAAATCACAGCATATGGTGAGTTGGGAGGGATACACCGGGATCATCGAGGCCAACACTTAGCCCTGCACAGGACATTCGAACAATCCCACCCCTGTGCCTGAGAGCATTGTCCACACGCTTGCAGTTATGACCATTACCTGGAGACCCTGCTCAGTGTCCCAGCACCCTCTGAGGGAAGAACCTTTTTCTGATATCCAACCTAACCCTCCCCTGACACAGCTCCATGCTGTGAGAAGCACTTTGATCATCTCTTCAAGGCACCACTGCTGTCAGAGCTGGCACAGGCTTTACAAAATCGGACAGTTTTTGACAGTGTTGAAAGGGCACAGACTTGTGGGTTTTTGCGGTAGAGAGGTTCGTGAGAGGCCGTGATCCCGGCTCCCCTCCACCCCCACGGGGCAGCAGCTGCATCAAAGCTCCGAATCCCAGCCAAACTGCCTCTTCATACAGATAGGAGATCCATCCTCGGGATCGTCAGCCCGAGACCCGGGGTTGGATTGGGTAAGTGTGATCCTCTTCTCTTGTTTACAGAGGCCTTCGACAGCGAGGGTGGCAATTCCTGAAGAAGATGAACCTCCTCGTAGCGACGGAGCAGAGACGAGTGAGCCTGAGAGCTGGTTGGTATTTTCGTCATCCCGAGAGCCGTTGGAATTTCGGCATCTCCCGCCGCGGGTGAGCCCTGCGCTGTGTTACGGAACGCCGCACGGGCTGGATCCCTGGCTGTGGCTGTGCAGCGCTGCCGCACGCCAAATCCAGCTCCTGGCGACAGGGACACTTCAAAGCCTCCGCGCTATTTTGGCCGCGGTGGCTCGGGCTCCGGGCGAGCCGGGCGGTGCCTCCGCCTGTCGTATCCCGGGAGAGGGCAGCAAGAGCCCGCCGGTGTCGGCTGGAGGTTTTCCGGTGCTGGCATTGGGCAGCTTCGTGTGATGGAGCCAGTTCTGGAACTCCTTCCGAAGTGATGTGTTAGCGCTCGCTCAAATCTTCCCCAACAACATCCTTCTTCCATGACTAAAAGCGGAAACCCACCGGGAGGGGAGCGGAGAATTCTTTGCTCTGCTTTTCCCTGCGGGCAGAGCAGGGCCCGTTTGATCCTTCCTACATTCCTGCAGGAGACAGTGAGAATCCTTCATCCTCATTCTGAACAGCATCTCTCATCATGCTGAAGCACGGCCAGTAACTTTGGCTGCTCTAGAATATCAAGTCTTCGGGGGTGCAAGACATGAGATTAACAGTTTTTGTGTTTTCTGACTTCTGAGTCCTTAGAGCACCCTCAGATAATTTTTCTCCAAGCTCCTCCCTAAAATCTAAAATCTAGCATGAAATCAGAAAGGCAGTAAGACCACAGCTGATAACTCAGCTGAATGAAGACCTTGGGTTGTCAAGTTGCACTTTTTGTGCCTTGGTGTCAATGGCAACCTGGTCTCTTGCAAATTCACCCCCTTTGAAACCCCTGCTGTGTCTGCCTTTCAGATGTCAGCTTCCAGAATGGTTTTATGTTCCCAACATGGCAATTTATCCACTGGTTAACTTGGAGCTCTGCTCTGCAGAGCCCACAAAGCTGTCTCTCATTCTCTTTTATTACTTACAAAAGCCAGTAGTTCTCTGTCATTTGATGAAGTGAGTGCACTGTCTTTAATAATCCCTTTCTGGCTTTTTCCTTCCAACTGAGTAACACAAAACTTGCTTTTCCTAGGATAATCCTTAGGCATGGATGTTGGGCAAAGAAAATGCAGAAGGATGTGATTGTGTTGGACCAGGAGAAGACAAGTTTAAATTCAGTGTTATATCTGAAGTGACTGCTGTTTATGCACTTAACCTTGTGACAGAGTAAAAAGAGTGCCAGGAGCATGTTATTGCGTGAAAAAGTGTTTATTTCCCTTTAAAAAATTTATGAACTGGCAAAGAGGCCATGAAAGGAAGATGTAGGTATTCCTCTGTCCTGAGGGTGACTGTCAGCAGTTAGCAGCCAAAATATATGTGTCCCTTGTTCCCTTTGCTGGGACAGCAGGTATTTCTGGATCTAGGAACTTGGTCCTGAAAACTGCTGAGTAAATTCCAGCTAGTGTTTACTGGAATCCACTGGAGGGGTAATCCCTTAGCCCACTTTTACCTGGTCTCTGGGAGCTGTAGCCTGTTGGAGGCCTCAATCCTGGAGGCTTCATAGCTCTTTCAACTCTTGGTAACTTTGATTGGCATTAAGGGTCACTCAGTACCTCCTGGGAGGAGGCCCTGACTGCTTTCGACTTTTAAAATTAATGGTTTTGATTTTTAGAATCTTGCCTGGGAGATTTTAATTTGAATTTGCTGGTTTTCACTTGAACTTGAAACTGACTTCAGTGGGTTATGTGCCCTCAGTATTGGATGTTACTGTGTTAGAACCTTCCCTTTGTTGGTCTTGCAGGTGTAAGTCAGTCCTTTTTCTTAGGCAACTGTATGCAGTGAACTGAGATCAGGGATTGATTTGGCCAGGGATAATTGAAATCATAAATAGAATAAGGTAAAACAAAACATAAAGCAAAACTTTGAGTTTGGAATAGCTTCTGAGATTCTGAAAGTAATTGAAGTAATCCAGAAGAAAATATGCCATGAAATCTGTTTTCCACTATTGCATGACATGGTATGTCTTAAAATTTGATCAAATCAATTTTTCGTGATGAAGATAATGCCGCTTAGTGATGTAGAGATCTGGGGTCTTTTTCAATGTAGAATTACAAATTATTGTAGACTTGACATCTCATTTGTTTATTTATTTATTGATGATTCACAGTTCCTGTCATGATCACACAACAAGTAAAAATAATTTCTGGTTGATTTCTAGCTGCCGGTATTATTTTTGAAAGATGTTGTAGTAAAAGCTCATTGGTGTGTTTGTGCCTCCTAGCTTTCTTGTCCAGACCCAGTCTCTTGTATATAATCAAGGTGCATTGGGAGGGACTTTATGTCCTGTCTTGCATTCTATTTAAGGAAAAGTGCAGTCATTTATGTGAAGTCCTGTTCTCATATTTATCTGTGGGTTTTGTGAGGTCCCCCGACAAGTCAAGATTGAAGGAAAAGGACAGTCCATTCTTTTTGCTTTAAAGGAATATATTTCCATCTTCAGTGGCTTCTGAGTGGGATGTCTGTGAGCAACAACACAAGGAGTTCAGTGTAGGGAACAGCTGAGCACATCCAAGAGTAAGTGGGGCCAGAGGAATTTATTCCCAGCGCTGTCGTTTGCTGTCTGGGAGCACATGTGCTCCCCTTGCTGGTTTTGCATTCCTATTCCCACATCATCAGTCAATCCCCATTCCTCTGTAGATTTTATCCTCTTCATATCTTCACTGAGGGATGTCCTTACTCACTCCTCAGAGGGAATTCTTTGGAGACCACATCTATCCTCCACACGGATCAAATCATAGATTGCTGTGTCTCACCAGGATTCAGCAAGGGCCATCTCAGATTGTGGATATAATTCACCTGGAAGAGAGTCAAAAAGAGGGCTGTTTTGTGTTTTCTTCATTGGTAACACAGGGAATTCACCCTCAAAGAATTTATGGAAAGGTCAGTTGGTCAAATAAGAGCATTCTGGGTGTTCACAGGAATAAGTTACTACCTGGCAGGGCTTTTTTGTTTACATCCTCCATAAGGATCCCATGGAACAGATTTAATCCTGGGTCTGGATATTTGATTGTGAGTAGTTCTTGGGATATCTGTCGGAATGTTTGTAGTAGTCCTACACAGTCAGCTGTGGGATCTTGTGATAATGATGTTTTAAGATAAAGCACATAAAAGAGCTTTTTCATCCCACCAGTGAACATCCCAAAGTGTTCAGCTAATGGCCCAGTACAGCAGTTCTGATGTTGCTGAAAACAATCCCCAGCCTGTTCAAATTGATTCTAAGGCAACAGGAAACACAGAAAGTTATGCAAGGGCCTCGTTTGAATGGAGCCAGCACAGGAAAGGGCACAGTGCAAGGCTGGCAGAGAAAGAGGGACAGCTGGAGGCTGAGACAGTGGATTCATCAGGGCATCCGTGCTGAAAACAGCATGGCTGGAAGATGGCAGTACCAGGTAATCAGTTTTCACTGCAGGAGCTGGCCCAAGGGGCTGCTGCACCCTTTACACTCAGGTAGGCACCTGTGTGCATGTGTCTGTGCCTGTAAGTGTGTAGCAGTGCAGGATGTGTGGAGAAGGGCTGCTCTTCACTTTAGGCATCTGATTGAAGCACATCAAAAAGATGCCTGAAGTTAAGGAGCTAAATCAGGCCTCTTTTCTCTTAATCCCTTCTGAAAAATGCAATTAAAAGCACTTTCTGTGCATTCCAGTTTGACCAAGCTCCAAGCAGTGTGTGGAGTGTTCAGGGTTTTTTTCACTGACTGTATTTTGCACTCTGTAAGTTAAAATCTGGACTTGTGTAGAGTGTGGCACCCGTGTCATGAGGCCATGGCAAAGCTGAGTATGGGGTGGCAGAGCAGAAGCATGTGGTGGTCTGGTCCCAGTTACGTGACATTTGGCTCTACCTGCAGCCTTAAAACTGAGCTGGAAACACAACATCAAGTGGAGATGCCTGGAAAGGTCTTGCACACCCCCACAAATGATTACTGATGAGAAAAATTACAACTGAGTGACTCGTGGCTGCATTTCTGGAGAAGTTACAAATCATCCTTGCCCAAATGGGGCTGGAGATGCACCAAGAAAGCTCCTCAGA